TACATATGGCTTCCCAGGTTCCAGTTTCAGCAGTTTTATTTGGCTCCAAATTTGGTAGCCATGGTTACAACCACTCAGAAGCAATCTCCACTTTTGAAAAAAATATGACCTTAATGTCTTTTTGTGAAAGTAAGAAAGCACAAAGACATTTCCAAGTATCTGTATTTGTTAAATTCCAAATTGCCTTTCTAAAAATACAGCTATGAACTCCTTGGGAATTAGAAGGAAGGAACCTATTTCAGAAAGGACATTTTAAAGCAATTTTATGCTGAAATGAGTCCTAAAATTCTGGCCTTTTGTTCTTTGTCGTGGAGGCATAAGGAAAGAAAAGCTAGTGATCATCCTTAGGTTACAGTGATCGGAATAAAGAACATTTTCTGATCTTCTACTTGAGCTTTTACTGACTTTAATGGAACTCAGCATCTGTCTTCAGCTGAAAACTCAAGGACCAAATTCTGCTCCTCTAAAACCATTGTTATCTGTGGAGCTAGTTACCAGATAATTTGTTTCAGTCTGTTTTAGCTCTAATGACAAATTCACATATAGTTTATAAGTTTTTAATCTTTTAATTCTTGCTTGCCTCCAGATTTGGAAGTTATTAAATAGCCTAAGTATGAGAAACAGAATCAATGTCAACGGTATTATAGCTATACTTAATAAAAAGCTTAATATGTTCTGGGTATTTTTCTATTATAACTGGGCTTGAGATTTGGCAGGGGTGGTCCAGAGCCATTTGTAGTGATGGAACTTGTGTCACTTCTCATGTTCCACCCTGGTCCAGCTTTCAGACCACCCAAAAAATACTATGAAAATTCCTTCCTCTTTTTAAGGTCTTGGGAAACTAATTCCAAATACACGTACTGTAAAAATACAAATATTCAAAATGTGCTGTTGGAAGGACATAATGATGACACTGAAGTCTGGTTTCTATGGGGAGTTTAAGTCTGTATAAGTGGTATTTGACATTTCTATCTTTGACCCAAGAGAGTTCTTGCTTCATGCTTCATTCATTCCCTTTTTTTCACAGTTGTTGTATCTATCAGGAGTTAGCCCTTTTTGCTCAAACAGTTTCCAAGAGGAACCATGTCAATGCCAGTCACATATATGCTTTGTTGTACTGCTTATTTACAGTTAAATACATCCCAAATTTTGTTTCCTTGAACTCAGGAAGACCAAATAATAGCAGACAGTTTCCTTGTACAACGTGTATCGTGCCAGTTGTAGTTCTCCCAAAATTATTTCCTTGTGCATCCTGCTATGGCCTGTGCACAGTATTGTCAGTCCCAGGATTTCCAGTAGATTTTTTGCTTCATTTGCAATGCTCTTCCAAAATGAGGAATTGATTCACTTTTTTCAGAGCTCATCTCCTTTCAGTAAAAGCAGATGAAGGCAATTCCTATAAGGTACAGGCATCACTTGAAGGGATGGGAGGATGTAGCTCTGCTCCCCATCTCTGTCACTGAAGCATTGTACAATATCACAGAAGTTGTTCCATCAGCCTCATCTTCTTGTTACCTAATTGCTTACACTGCTCTGAGAGCCATGACATGAATGTTTGATATGGTTGTGGTAATTAGGAAATCTACTATACTGAAGACCCAGTGGAAGTTTACAATACAGAAAAAAATTTACTATATTGGTGCATTCTCCATTGCTGCTGTAGTCAGTGGCCATAAATGGCAGAAGTTGTGCTCCTGCTCTAAATATGAAATAATCACAACCATTTTTGCTACTATGACTGAAGACCCCACACGTACAAATAATGTCAGCAATACTTGAGAAATATATTTGAATAAATCAGAATTTGGACGTTCACATTCATCTATCTGTTAGCTTCACAGTCCTACACGAGGACCTTACAACATCTCATTTCTTATTTTACATATTTTTGACAGCATATGAAATGTCCCAAAATTTCAAAAGGCTGATTTACTTTGTTTGCAGCTATATTTCAGAAACTTGGAGTCTGTAGATGGTTTTACTCTGTAAACTAATGTAGTCAGAGAAATGCAATCCATTAATATTTTGACAAAAATTTAAAAGCCCTTAAATCAATAGGCAGCATGCTGTGTTGTCGTGATCTCTAGCGACAAGGGACATCATTGATGGTTTAGAAGAAGAGTTTTATGGTGGAGGAATACCTTCATTGGAGCCTTTCCTCCAGGACTGAATCCCTTCTGAAATGAGGGATGTAGGGGAGCACATATTTTGTAGACTTATAGAAATGAATACAAAAAATACTGTCTGGGTAGCTCTGTGCTGTATATTCACCTGTGAGTTATATTTTATACTATTTTAAGAGTATTTTGCTCATATAGTAATGCTGTTGAGTCTTTGCTGATACCGTGTTTAGTTCTGAGACTGAAATTTGCAGAGATATTTCTCATGAGAGGTCTCAAATGAAAGTCCCATCTATTCTTTTCTAGACGAGAGGTTCTGTGAAAAGTGCTGCTTGTTTTCACAGTTCTGCATACTTAATAATTAAAGCAAATGCACCAGGGTTAATTCATTATTAGTGAAGGCCTTTATCAATCTCCATCTTTTATTAGCATTTTCTATGGTGGCTATTATTATCTGCAGAGAATGTTGCTAAAAAAGAAAATAATTTCTCATTTTAGAATCCAATGTCTTCAAGGACACTCTCACATGGAGAAAAACGGGTATCAGAGCAAATAGTTTGACTGGATCACTGAAATAATTTTCAAACATATGTACATGTATAGATACATATAAATATACATACTTGTGTATATACATGTAGACATACACATGCCCGCACACATGTGTGTATATATATATACACACATCACTTGTGAGCTCCAAGAATACGTCAGTTAAAAATAAATAAATCCAACATGTCCAGTCAAGGATTTGTTTTAAGCAGAAAGTATAGCTCCCAGGACTTTGTTACATTTTAATTTTGTTTTCATACTACAAAGAGAAGCCTTTGTTTGCACTCAGGAAGAGCACCTGTGGAATCTTTAAACATTTTCGGGCATGTTTTAAAAGCTCATCCTTGTGGTTAAGATTTAATCTATCAAAGTGGTATAAATAATGTAGACATAGCCTTAGGTGTCACTTCTTCCCCTTGCAGGTCAGAAAATAGCAGAAGCATCGCTCTGCTGCATGTTAAAATATTACTCAGGCAGAGCAGTGACAGGATCCTGTGCTACTGTTGAATTATAGGCGTCCAACTATTTATTACTGGTTATTTATAAGGTCCAAAAACACACGTAAAAACCACCAGGCTTCTGACCAAGATAAAAACATAAATAGAAAAATAGTGTCTTATTAAAAAAGAAAGAGTCACCCATACACCTCTAAAGGTTTTGCTTTTCAAGTAATTAAAAGAAAATTACTCAGCAGAGCCTAGGTGATTTATGGTTCACACATGACACACCGCTTGATGAATGTTTCTTGAAAACTAAACCTCGAAAACAAGGCCACCTCGTTTTTGGTTAGAGTTGGGCAGAGAGACCTCATTTTTCCACTATTAGACTATCTGGATGGGCATAATGCTGGCGGTTCGCAGCACTGCTCGGTTTCTGCTTTTTGCTGTGCTCAGTAGCTCTTCTGTGCTGTCACATGAAAAGGATCCCTGCATTCATCACCTCTCCTTCATCAGCCCAAATTGCCCCAATGCCTTGGCCATTGGTTAGTGCATGGCAAGAGCTCCGGACCTGTGCTAGGATGGAAACATTTAAAGTGTCATGTTTATATAGAGAAAACGCGTAGCCTTCCTAGTGGTGGGAGGAAAGCTTGAAGAGGATATGAATAGAGGAAGGGAATAAACGTATTTCCCTGGGCTGTTAGTCCCTCTTTTCTTTTCAATAGTTCTGTCTCTCCATTATTCAGTCCATCTTTCCCTTTATATGTCATGTGCAACATGAAACACTTTGTTCAGTTATGCAGAATTCACAAAATATTAATGTTTTGCCCAAAAGACTCTTTTTCAAAACAGAATCCAGCACAGCTTCCAAAGTTACTGTAACGTATCCGCACCCGAGTGAGGTCTGGATGTGGTTCACAGTTCCTGTAAGGCACTTGGGCTGTTTGATGGGTCATTAATCAAAGGAAAAAATAACCCCTAAACTCTCCTTCCCATTTTCATTAAGTATTTGTATTTTGTATCATAAGGTGGTATGTTTTGAGAGATGCCTTTTGGCCAGGACATCGATGCATTGTGAATGCAAGATTACTTTAATAAATGTAAATGTAATTATTTCACGCAGCACTGTCCGTATGACACCACTTAGATTCAGAAAGGCGTCTTTACTTCAGCATAATGATTGAGAAACATGATAATTTATGGGTGAATGTTTCATATGAAGCTACAACAGATGCAGTGCTTTATTGGTTGCAGTGCACGTCTGCAGGCACAACCAACGAGGCACTTTACATGCAGTTTCCTACATAGGATGCCCTTATAAAATGTGGCATTTCTTTCGCTCCGATATGTGCATGTGAAAAGATCATTTAAAAATGTGAAGACCAGAGTTGAAGAAGTCATATTTATCTGTTGCTTCTTCAAACGTCCCGAGTTGCATAAATATCATTCTTTGTATGTTTGCCATATCCACATTTGGATGCATAAATAGGGCTCCCAAATTGGGAAGTGAGTTTAAAAAATGGGCCCAGTGAGTGCTTTGGCTTGCTGGTGATCAGAACTCGTTTGTGGCAATGCTTGGGTTGGGTTGGGGTCTCTACTGAGGCTGTGTGATGGAGAAAACAAGCCTTCAAAGGAAGGTGAGATGAAGGGGAGAGCAGTGCTGTGAGGGTGATGGATGTTCGGGCATGTACAGAGGACTGCTCCCTCCTTCCGACCGTCGGGAGCGCACTGCTAGCCAAACCCAGATCAATGCGAGCGTGCTGCTGACACTTCCCCACATATCTGAGGCATCTGCAAGCCTAGACATAGCAGACACCTGCTCTTTCTTTAATTTCGCATTTCAAGAAAACTAAGCCCGTTTCTGTCATGTCTTGTCTGCATCACCTTCCAGGCGGCTGAGTCTGGTACGGGGACGGCTCAAAGCACACAGGCTCCAGAGGGGCTGCTCTGACGGGACGAGTGTCTGCAGGAGGAACTGCCGAGCCCTGCAAAGCCTGCCTAGCCCACCTGTGTCCCGAGGGCTCTGAATGTTCAAAAGGCTCAAGTATGTATTAGTGCTTCTTAAAATCTACACCTGAAACTTTTTTTTTTTCTTTTCTCATATTAATCTGTGTGGTGTTGCATACAAATGACTTCGGTGTCTGGCCAGAGCAGTGTTAAGGTGCACACGTTGCAATGTTGGAGTTTCCACGACCATACTTAAAATGTGTGGGATGAGGGTGTGATGGGTCAGAAAGTCATAAGCAATCAGAAACAGGGAAATGAGCCAATTTGCAGTACAGCATTCCTGTTGTGAGTTCAGGGGCTGCTTCTTTGTGTCTTTGGGAGTTTTGAATTCATTCTTTGAAGGCGTCCAGCCAGATCTCCAGAGGTGTAGAAACACGTACAAACATGAAGGGAAAGGGAACAGAAACAACAGTGATCTTTCAGCTTCCAGACTTGTGTAGGACAAACAAAACAGCTGTACTTCAATTTATTGGGCTTATCAAGGGCACGTCCCAGATGAAGATGTGGTGAAATGCTGCATGCCTTACCTTCTGCCTTGGTGCTTCCCTGCATTGTCCTCGTTGGCTCCTGCATGGTGTGCAAAGGAAAGCAAAACGGGCAGGCAGTCAGGGGCTGCCGAACACACACCAGAGAGTCCTGTGTGGTTGGAGGCAGCCTTCAGCACCAACCCTTTGCTCTGTTGCAGAACAAAGTGTCCAACCTGGTCATGAAATGTGACCTCTTATGTATTCTGGGCATTGCACAGAAGCATTTGTATGCATAATGTACGTGGGTTAAATTTATTACAGGTCTTGCTGCAATTACTGGAGTTGATCCTAACTCTGCCATTGGCAAATATGGCTCAGTAAGATATTATTCCATCAGCTAGGCAAAAATCCAAAGTGATAATCACTTGCAAAAAGATGTAGAATTGTTAGAAATATTTATAGCCATTAGTGTAAAAGTTTGGGTGAGTTTGGAGTGCTAAAGGAGTGGTAGCATTTAAACAGAAAGTTGTAGAGTGAGGAAAATAGCAGGAGAAATGTCTGAGGGCTATCCTGATACAATGCAAACATTTTAGAATAAAAGCCCAAGTCCAGCAGCAGTCCTGATGCCTGAAATCACATAATCTTCAGTGGTACTCCTGGGGTGAAATTTAGCCCTTTAGGTTCTAAGCACAAAAAAGTTGTTTCTTTTAGCTCTTATGGGTTCATCTAATCAAGCTACAAGTGCATCTCATCTCTGCTGTGAAAGTTGGTTTTGACACATTTCCAGGTTTTTCCTGGTGGAAGTGAGGTTGAAAAGTTCACGGGTTCACGTCTTACTCCACAACCTTCCTGTAAGAGAAGCTCACACCGGCTCCAGACTTCGCATGTATTTTAGCTACCATCTCTGTAGAGATGAAAACCTTTCATGACCCTGCAAAATAATCCCTGAGGAACCTCCTAATTCTTGAAAACTTCTGTAACTTTTCCAACTTTTCCTTGGTTCCATATGCCAAGGACTGAATTTTTGAGAGGGAGGTATTAAAATCTGGTAAAAAAATAAAATGTCAGCTATATTCAGTTTCAGGTACAAAAATTAATTAGCCAAAGAATTTCAATTTTACTACTGGCAAGTCATACTAAATTAGCTTTCCTATGGGAAAAAGAAAAGTTCAATTAAAACAAAAGACCTGTGTGGAAGAGATTCTGCAAACTATTTCGAGTTCAATTTTCAGATCAGTGACAAATTAACGGGGGTATTAAGATTTTATTCAGGTCTGCATTTGGAGAAACTCGAACTGTACCAGTGTGCAAAAGATAAATAGAGCCTACAGCCTCAGTTCTGCATGGCTTCTGATATAAAAACTAATAGGATGGAAAATTACTTAGAAGTAAAAAAAAGTGCCTCGATATTAGATAATTAACACTGCTTACTTGAAGTTCTGTAACAGCTGACTGACAACAGGGATATTCGCTGTCTGTAACCTGAGAGCAAAGTCTCTTTCTTTACTTGGCTTGACAGAAGTGATTTAAGAGCAGCACAGACAATAGGAAGGACTGTACCACAACACTTCAGGACTTGCTCATATCCACAATGTAAAATTTCCATACTATTTCTTACCCTCCTTAACCACTTACTGCTCTATTTTTTTTTTGTGGTTAGGATATTTATTCTAAGGACTCACTGTTTTGCAGTGTCCAGGTACCCTGGTGCTGTTCAGAGCCCAGCTCACCCCAGTGCTATATGCAGCCATAGCAGATTTATCTCATCTAGCCCGGAGCACTTACAAGGAACGTAAGTTCACAGTGGTTTTTCTCCTGACTCCTGTGAAGGCAAATGAATAATTCCTGAGGTCTGTATAGCCTAATTTAGTCCTTATGCTTTAAGAACTTACCAAAAATTTAAATTAGCTCATTTAGCCTAGAACAAGTATCCTTTCAACACAGACATCTCAGTTAAGTGCCTGACCTCAGGTGAATAAAGGCCCTGAGTCAACAAGTTTGCAAGCTTGTTTGATGAAGGCAAGGTTTTAACAAACATCTGGGAGCTTCTCACCGAAGGTCAGAGGCAATTTCATATGTCCTGATGAAAACACAGATAGAAGAGGAGGTTTGCATAAGCAACTGCAGCAGATTGGTGGCAGAGCCTGGAGGAGAGTGAGGGAAGTCCAATTTTCTTTCTATTTTATTTTTTTTTCTTCCTCTAATTATTTCAGTAATGTACTGGAACCTGTCCTGATATACGAGTGCTTTTCTGAGGCTGCGTATTCTAGTGTGCAGCTAATAGTTGCTTTAGTTTTATCTATGAAAATAGATAAGAACATTGGAAATGACATACGGGAACAGGCAGATGTCCACCTTGGTCCAGGGTTCAGTCTCTGAAAGTGCAGCAGGAGGTGCTATTTGGGGAGGACAAAGTCTGGCCACTTGAGGAATGGAAAGCACAGAGCTGTTGGGAAGCAGGAAAAATTAAAGAATCAAGGCTGATATTACTTTGATTTCTTTTCCCCTAGATGCTGGGTGTCAGAATGACATCAGTGGTTCCTTCTGACAGTAGGTTCCTTTTCTAGTTGTTGAGCAAGCATCTTCCCCTCGTATTCTTGGCTTAATTTTGAGTAATTGTTATGACTTCTGAGGGCCTAGATACCTAATTACGTTACCGTAGCTTCACCAATTATGACTTAACTTTCTATTTGGCCAAGAACCCATGTTCTTACCCCATGAACCCATGAACTTACTGTGGTTCAGGTGATATATGTTGGTTCACACAGCCACAGAAAATTGCTTACATGCATGAATCCAAGAAAAACATCACTGGGCTGGATGTAACACACTTTGAAGACTGTGATGGAGCTCCAGTTGCTGGATGTGGTAGATGCTATCTTTGGTCTATCCCCAAAATCACACAGATGTATGTGCAGGCAGCTGAGTAAAAGGGGAATATCTTCACTGAGGTTGGAAGAAAAGGCATCAATCATAGCATTGGTTTTGAAAGGGGTAACAACAAATAGAAGAATGGTCAGTCACTGGTGGGCTACAGCGGGCAAGCTCGTGGTAGAAGCAAGACTGAAAATGGTGTTGTCATGGGCAGGCACAGGGGACACCGTGCAGTGTCTGAATGTGTCCATCGCAGACCCTCATCTCCAAGGGGATAAAAAGGATGGATGAGAACAGGGAACACTTTCTGGGAAACTATAAAGGACAAGCCAGCAAGAAAAAGAATGCCAAAAAGAATCTAGCAACACGGACAAAATACTGAAAAGGATTTTCTGAGAGATAGTCTCTTGATCTATATGTATTGACGCCTCTCTCTAATAGCTATTAGTCTCAGTAGACAAGCTAGTTAGAGAAATTAGTAGTTTAGAGTACTTTAAGGCAGCTTCCAGCTCAAAGCAAGGCACAGGCTTTCGTGGAGATCTCACTTCCCCCGAGCATGCTCGGAGCCCTCCCAGGTTTTAGCACGGCTGAGCCCAAATTAACATTCCATTTTCGCTGCTTCGCAGACACAATCTATCTGCAACATGATATTTATCCGTACAGCTGGCAGCTGCGGTGTCAAGTGCTACAGATAGATGAGACCATTACTATGACACAAATATTTTCTTTTCCCACATTCACTCTTTGAAGCAATCACACACAACAAAGTTTGCAGCAAAACTGTACAGGGCAAGTCAAAATTCCTCCTTCTTTTTTTTCATATAAGAGAATTTGGACTCTTGTTACAGTCTAAAGGTACAGAGGGTATGGAGTTACTTCATGTTTTACTTCTCAGCTTAAAAAAGCAAATTCCACTTCCAAGTAAGTAGAAAAATTATGCTTGAAGTATGTAGCACTCTGGTTTGCATAATGCAAGTCATGTACATTTGCTATGAGGAATGCTCCCAACAAGAACAACTCACTCATAAATGAAAACCTTCTCTAAAAAATCTTTTATCCGGCAAACTCCCGAATTAAGTAATACTTGGATGTTGAAAGATCACAACAGAGCTGGAACAAAAGAGAAAAGTCTACTGACTGTAAAAGAGCAAGTCATTCAAATGTGCCTACAAAGGGTGTTGTGGGGTGGCTGTCTGGAGCATCTTTACCTCCTCATTCAGGCTGCTGTCATTTTCTGTAGGAAATAAAAGTCTTCAGGCTTGCAAGGAGGGTGTTCAGCTAATTGGCTAGTGTCTTCTCTGCATTACGGCACTCAGCCTATATGGAACAAAGTCATCTTCTTCCATTTTGGTCATGAATTTTTGTATTAATTTGTATATGATTTGTATAATGTAATTTGTATTTTGAATGTTTTGGAATTAATTTTGAGACATGGACAGTGGGGTTTATGCTCAAAGGAGCAACTCAGATGTTCAGAACCGGGCTGGGGAGCAGGTGCTGAGCTGGCTGAGATGTTCTGGGATAGGATCGGTGGAGAAGCCAATGGAGGGCACAGCATGGGAGTCATAAGGAGTAGGTGGACCAAGGTTTATTTGAACACCTGGAGGAAGCTTCATAATTCCTACAGGGGACTTTAACCACTGTTTAACCATCTACTGCAAGAGTAATCACTTTGGGTGCAAGGAGAGTTGGAGGT